TTAGCTGAGCCACTGCAAAGGTCAATTTAATCAGCGTAAAAACTTTCTCAGTGCCAGCATAAAAAGACACACTGGGCAGTAATGGTTCCCCAGGCATGGTTTTAATTTGCCAATTTATGAGTCTGGAAAACTCTGTTAGCAACTGGCTAATGGCAACAGCATCATGTCCTTAGGAAAACACTTTAAAGTTTAAGAGTGAAAAACGGGAAAACTGAAGTTCTTCCTGGGATGCTAAAGCACAGGATGCCAAATACCTTGGCTGCTGGATATGAATGAATTTGGAGCAACACCTCCAGCTTTCCCTGCAGGAAGAACTAAATCTTCTTCTTCTTCTTCTTCTTCTTTTTTAATCTTTTTGTTTGTTTAAATAGAGACAGGGTCTCCTCATGTTGCCCAGGCTGGTCTTGAACTCCTGGGCTCAAGGGATCCTCCCACCTCAGCCTCCCAAAGTGCTGGGATTACTGGTATGAGCCACTATGCCTGGCCAAGAACCAATTCCTGGTGGAAATGTTCAGTTCTCCATTTAACACGTATGTATTGACCCCCTTTCCCCACCAGGTACCAGGCCCAATGTGGGATGCTACAGCTGTAGCAATGAGCAAGAGATTTAGGGGGTGGGAGGGGAGAGCTTCTGCTTCTGGCAATATAGCTGGGTAGGTAACTAAAAATTCTTCTGCTATAAAATCCTGGGTTTACAACAATCCTTTTTAATTACACAGCTGAACTTGCAAGAAAGCAAGGAAGATCACCAGGGACCAAAAATGATAGAGGCAACTAGAAACCACAGTAGTAAATGAGGTCAGGCCTTTCCAGTTGACCTAGAAAGTGGAGTAGTTTGTTGATCTTGGGCCCACCTGAAACAGGAGATTGGAGCTGAGAACCAAAGCTGGGACCCTCAGAGGGAGAGAACAGATTAGAAAAAAACATTAGCCCAATGGCACATAGTGACAATAAAAAGCTCTGAAGTGGGAGGAAAACAGTATCTCCTCTAATAATCTTCGATCACAGATTATTTCAGATTAGAATTGTACTATTACAAGGTCTGAGGATCCCCAAGCCAAAAATTTAACACAAAAAGTGGTCCCAGGCTGGCAATAATCCTGCATCTGGCAGAAATACAAAACTCTGAAGAGATCTATCCTCAGCCACAGCACAAAGAATTCATACAAATAAAGTTCTTTTGAAGATAAGCTCACAATCCAAAATATAAAAATGTATGCAGGCCGGGCGCAGTGGCTCACGCCTGTAATCCCAGCACTTTGGAAGGCCGAGGCAGGCGGATCATGAGGTCAGGAGATCGAAACCATCCTCGCCAACACGACGAAACCCTATCTCTACTAAAAATACAAAAAATTAGCTGGGTGTGGTGGCGCGCGCTTGTAACCCCAACTACCCGGGAGGCTGAGGTAGAATTGCTTGAACCAGGGAGGCGGAGGTTGCAGTGAGCCAAGACAATACCATTGCACTCCAGCCTGGGTGACAAAGCGAGACTCTGTCTCAAAAAGAAAAAAAAAAAAAAAAAGTATGCAAAACTAATCCATTACAAACAAGATGAGAAATTCAGCAAATAGCAGGGTAAGACCCCCCTGATAAAAACTCAGTAGCATGATCAGATACATTATAAGATACAAGCATGTTTCAAATGATTAAAGCCAAAAAGAATTAAAATCACAAGAAAAGAACATCACCAAACAAGAGATAGTAACTGGCAGATAAAACTTGTAGAAAAATAGTTATTGAAATAAAAAACTCAACAGTGGGCCGGGCGCGGTGGCTCAAGCCTGTAATCCCAGCACTTTGGGAGGCCGAGGCGGGTGGATCACAAGGTCAAGAGATCGAGACCATCCTGGTCAACATAGTGAAACCCCGTCTCT